CTGTAATTATTCCATGTTCCCTGTGCCTCACAGATAGTTTCCTCCAACTTCTGGAGATGGAACCAAATCTGGGTAAACCCGGGCATGCCCCTCTCGCACTTTTCACTCACTATTAAGGGAGTGGTGGCGTTTTCTCTTGAGCCTGTAAAGTCTTTATTGATTGAGCTCAGCTCAAAATAATCCACCTAAAAACTGACACATCTTGGGGAGGCCTGTCCTTCAATATTTACGGATTTGGAATGTGAGCATCAGAGTGTATGAGTAGTAGAATCTCCTTCAATTGACCTTTACTTAGCCAGTCCAGCAAATGCACTGACCAATTCAGTGGCTCAATCTGCATTGCCAAGAATGACCCAGTCCCATGAAAGCTGGTGAGTGGAAGCCTCTCTTCTAAGCAGTCTCTGCACATACAGTTTGCCCCTAGCACAATTTTGTGCTTCCCAAATGCTAGTTGTGTACTCTCAAACTTGTATATGCTTGTCACTGCAATAATGTAATTTAATAAAAGTAACACATAAACAATGAAATACATTTTAAAATAGTGCTTCCCAAAAAACTTATTAGAACACTTTGAAAAGATAAATCATACATGCAAAAATGTTGAATTAAATGTAGGAGATAAAACAGTAAAATTTAAGGAACAGAAATAACAAAAGCCCTGAGTTTTCTCATTTGTATTGTTCTGTGTCTTTACTTTCTATTCCATTATAAAGAGAGCCCAAGGGGGAGGATTCTTAGAAAAACATCACAAAAGGAGATTTTGGAGGAAAAGGTAGCATGGCCCTCAAAGGACCAAAATCACACATTAAAATAAACAAAAGACTTGAATCTGTCCAGTGAATGTGTATTCCTGATTTAAATTTAAGTAAAATGTCAATGCTATTTGCTACCCCTGTGGTGGAAGGAAGGATATTTTTCCACTTTATGGAGATATAACTAATATAAAAGAATACACGCATTTAAACAGTAAGTTTGACAAGTGTATACATCTATAAAACCATCAAGATAATGAATACATCAGTGCCCCTAAGTTTCCTCCTGTCTCCTTGTAATCATTTTCTTTCCCTTCCTCATTAACATCCCTTCACCCATCCCTAGTCAACTATTCATCTGTCTCTGTAGATTCATTTGCATTTTCTAATTTTACATAAATGGAATCATATGGTATGTATGCCTTTCCCCTCTGGCTTTTTTTATTTTACTGTAATTATTTTGAGTTTCTTTCATGTTGTTGCATGTATCAAAATGTCCATTGATTGCTCGGTAGTATTTATCATATAAGCATTCTATATTTTGAAAAAAAGAAAAAGCAAAAGCTAGCAAACTGTCAATTTCAGGCATTCATCAGGGGAAGCAGAGAGAAAGGAATCAAAACAGAGGCAAAATTTCAAGGGTCTATGATATGGGATATCTTGGTGGTGGTGATTTTATGGGGACAACACCTGAGAAATCAAACAGTAGAAAAATGAAAAATGATGTAAAAATATATATAAATAAGTAAATTGAAAAATAAAAAACTATTTTGTACCCAAAAAAAATAAAAATAAGCATTCTACAGTTTGTTTGCTTTGTTTTGGGTTATTACAAAGCTGACGTAAGTTCACGGACAAGCCTCCATTTCATTTGGGTAAATACAGACATGGAATGGCTGTATAGGGCAGAGATGTTTAATATTTTGAGAAACTGCCAAACTATTTCCCATCAGTGTATGAGTTCATTACCTCACTTATTTGCCAGCGATTACTATTCTGTCTTTTAATTTAATTTCTTTTAGAAATTTGTATCTCATTGTGATTTTGATTCCCTAACCAATAATAATGTCAACTGTTTTATTATGTTCATTTATCATTTTTTTCACTTTGCAAAGTGCTCAAATTTTTTGTCCAATGTTTGTTTTTCTTGTCAGGTTTAGGGAGTTCTTCATAGTCTTCATATACTTTGGATACCAGTCCTTTTCTTTGGTTGGTCTTTTTATCTCTCAAAATGTTTTTAGAGGAGTTCATAATTTTCATAAACTCTAATTTGTTCATTTTTAGATTTTACATTTAAATCTATAATGCGCTTTAATTTTTTTTAACATGGTGTTGAATCCAGGTTTGGTTTTTGGTTTTTTGCATATGAATAGCAATTTGTTCCAGCTCCATTTGTTACATTATCCTTTCTTCATTGAATTCTCTTTACACCTTCACCAAAAAAATCAAATGTAAATTGTACATGCATAAAATATTTGTAAGTGTGGGTCTATGTCTGTATTCTATCCTTCCCTGGATTTCTTTGCCTATCTCTATGCCAATTATCTTTATGCCAGTGCAGGTACCTAATTTTTTAATAACTTTTCTGACTTTTAGGATTGGGATTATCAAAAGGTTTTTACTGTATAAAACTTGATGCAACAGGCAAGGGCATTGTAGAAAGAAGGATGGCAGACACAGAAACAATAAGTCAGAGATTAACACAATAGGTAAAAGAAACAGATTAAATGGATATTTTTTAAAATGGCATTTTTCTCAACCCTGCTCTTGTCAAAGACTACCCTCCCCCCTCCATCTAATCATCCTATCCTGTTTTGAAAGGTTATGTGTATAAAGTAAGCAGCATTTATTAGGCAATAATTCATTTGTGTTCTCATGTATAATTCATCAAAGGCATATGCTCCTGCCAGAGTTTCTGAGCAGTATGAAATAGCCAGGACTGCTATAATTCCTGCCAAAAATAAACTGACCTTTTAGATATCCTGTGCAGTCTTGTCATGGGCAATGATATAATCTCCATTGAGCTTTTTAAAATATTCACAATAGCCCCCTCAGGACTGCCATCCAGCTCCCTACCCCAACCTCTTTTTAAATCCAGAGGAGAAACCCTAGCCTCAGAGATTTACCTGATCTTATGTCCTTCATCTACCACATGCTCACTTCAGACACATGTGGACTGTTAACATGATGAAAATAACAAGAGAATGTATGGTTTTGCAATAAATTGGAATAGCATCATTAACTCAAGGAGAGCCCTAACCTGTAAAAAAATTCTCTAAAGGAACCATGTAAGAGCATTTTCCTCTGTAAGGCTATGTGGGATTCAAATAAGCAGTGAGTGATAAGATTTGGCAACTCCTAAAGTCTGAGATACCAAAGCCTCAGATAGAGAAAAACTGAAAATGAACCATATCAAGGGAAACTTTTAAAAATTAGTCAAAAAGGAAAACCCTGCCCATGTTGGATACATACATTCATGCTATAAAACCCTACAACATGTCTGATTCCAAAAACATCTCAAAGTCAGATTCCCAAGTGAATAAAATGATAGATCCCTGGTAGAGACTATTAAAATGTCACCTTCTACCAGATAATAGTTCTGCTCAGGCAATGACAAGAGGGAACAGATGTCAACAAATTAATGCACAAAAAGTGATAGAAGACACACAATTATTGATTTCAGATATTGTTTTTCCCTTTTAGAAGAAATGTCTTTCTTCTCTTCCCTAAGAACTGGATGCTTTCAAATGTACTTGTCATGCTTACAAAGGGGTCCAGCAAGATCGCTTGGAATTCCATTTTCATATGCATGTTGCCAGAGCTGCAGTGTCTTTTAAATCTACTAGTTGGCAAAACAAGCTCAAAGTTCTCTCTCAAAGAAAAGAAAGGGCTGACCTATCAATTTCATTTAAGGACTAGGAAAGGGAGTTCAAGCTCAACACCCAGTTTTTCATTCACTGTGTGAACTTACTAATTAGATTTAAGTTCTCTGGGCCTCCATTTATCTCTGAACTGAGTATAATAATCAATGCAATTCAACAAACACGGATTTTGTGAATACAAAGGAAAACAGCCCTTGCTAATTTCAGTATCTATAAATTCTCTGTCCTAGCTATGATTTTTCCACTTTCAGGTTTATAAAGAATATAATTAGATTGTTCTAAACTTCACTTTAAGATACAACCTAATAGGAAAAACACACACAACTAGGAGGCAACAGATAAACTGGAAACATTCAGCAGGGAAAGGGGTGTAAGAGGGATCAGGACAGGGGAGGGAAAAGTACAAGAGACTATGGTGATGGTTTACAGTGACAGGGTGATGGGAATTCTATCGGGATTATACCTGAAACACCAACGTAAAAAAAATACATATATAAATTTTTTAAAAAGATACAGTCTAACTTTTCAGTCTGTTACATCAAACTACTTGGTATGATGTCCATCAGGAAATAGTGTAGTGTGGCCAATTCCATTTGAACACTTACACATGATCAGTGCTGCCCAGAGAATTTCCTAAGACAAAGCACTTTGTTTTTATCTTTTCTGTCCTTGAGGTGTTAATACTATGTGAGTTTAATATATGTAAAAGTACTGCAATGCTAAATGTTATCCTTCAAAAAAATACCTTAAAAGTTCCTTATTTCAGATAGTACATACAAGTGTGTATAGCACTTCTCTAGCTTCGAAAATACCTCACTCTGATTAGGTAAGGTTTATTTCTGGTTATAGAAGAACGCTGAGAGAACATCAAAAGAACAAAAGCTCAAAACAAACTTTTCTTCTTCCAAAATTTGAAATGAAGGGGACAAAGAGATTTGAGAGATAAACTTTACCGCTCACTGTACAGAATGTCAACAACAGTTTTATTACAACTCAGTTTTCATCTTCTTACAATGAAGAAGCATATAATCAACTCTTTTCATTACAAAAATTGTCATGGGCTTAGGAATCAAAGAAAATACTTGTATAGATTATCTATCTATTCCCTACACCAGAACAATAATTCTAGACTATCCACATGGAATCAATTTTGTTATAGAGAATGTTTATTTTGTTGTAAAGGAGATTTACATCACTTTCAAAGATCATAAAAATTTCAGTTTCAATTAGCTACACTAGTAACTGTGAAATAGTGCCTTGAATAGTAATCAAAGCCTGAGAATGTCTTTTCTACTACCTTTTCTGATCAATCATAAGTTCAGAAACATTGAATTCCAAAACATAAGCGACACACTAAAGAGTAGGATGTTAGTTTCTGAAATTTTATTATTTTTAATACATACATTTCACAAACAGAAACCTTCTAACATCACACACAATTCCATAACCAAATGTTGCAATTTTATCAACATTCTTTTACGTATTTACACTGTTTTCCCTCAACAAAAGTGCAATCCAAGATATCTTGAAAAGAAATCTTTATTGACAAGAATATATTTTTTGAGCTGGTTTTAATGTTGCCCATCCATTTTATTTTCTTTCAATTTACCTGGAAGAATAATTAAGTCAACAGGACACAGAGATGAGCTGGGCCAGGCAGAATCCTTTTATGGGAACCAAAACACTGAACAAGAGGACTTTCTTCTCACCATTGGCCCACGCGCCCAATAAAATTACTCAATAGCTATTGTCATGAAGCTAAACAGGAAAGCAACCTGGAGTTCCTGACCTGGACACAGGAGAATAGATCATATGTCAACCAGTGACTGCAAAACAAAAGACTTCAGCAAATTAGTTTTGGTGGTCTAGTAAGTTATGCATCAGTATACCTGTTTGTTTTCAAGTTTAAACACCTAATAAAATTCTTTCCTGATGAGTTAGTATCTCCAAAGCAGATATGAAAATACTTTTTTTATTCTAAAAATGAACTTCTTTACAAAACATAGAAATTAAAGAGTGGTAAAAGCTCTTTCTTAATTAGGAGAAAATAATTCACCCCACTTCCCAATTTCAATGTTTATCTTTTACAGTATAAACCCAGTATATCAACTGCTTCAGATATAACCAGAGTTGACCTGAAGAAAAAATGATGAGATCATCAGAAAGAGGCTTTTCACTACACTAAAGCAGGTAATTTTATTTCTTCAAGGTATATAACTCTTAAAAAAAAGATTTCTTAAAAAGTTAGAGTAGATGAAAAATCACTTTGAAATTATTAGTCACTTATGAGTAGTTCATGTTATTGAACACTATTCATCAAAAAGGGAGAAAATGGATATCTTCAGTGACTAATATCCTTAAAACCCTTTAATATCCAAGCCACAACAAAATAATTATCTTCTTTGACATATTCGAATTCCCACCAAGGTATTCAGAACAAAGTACTTTGAGAAAGGTTAGGGAAAATGTTATGGTCAGCAGATTTCCAAAGTAAGATTTATTCTTCATACTGTTGCTTACCCAATTATATTTTACCCTCCAATCAGCCAAAATTTCTCTTATAGACAGGAAAGCAATGCCTTAAAGGCAAAAGACATCTCAGATATGATACCTATGCCTCTCCTTTTACATAACTGCAGCATCCACACACTCATATCTTATCATCAAAATAAAGGCCAAATGCAAATTTTACCCAATTACAGTGAAATCACATCATACTTATTTTTCAGGGAGTAAAAAACAATATGAAGAAAAATACTGAACATATCAGACACTATAGTCATAACAGCTTTTTGACTGAGAAGACTGCTGAATACAACCTGCATATAAACCTTTAAGCTTCAGAACAACAAAATGAGCAGGTTTCTATACAAAAATTGAGGTGGGTTCAAGAACAACATTATGAATACTTCAGAAATAAAACCCAAATGGTACTGTGAAGACAAGAGAAATTTACTAATTTTTATACCTGGATACCTAAGAGAATCAACAGGGTGACAGTTAATTCACAATTATAGCTTTATGCAGTAGGACAAATTTGCAAGGGATATATCCTGTAGACCTCTTTAACTTGCATCACATACTGTCAGATCAATAATGATTTTCTGCTTCTTAGAGGCATTAAGCATGTCTGCACATCTGTGAAATATTTTTCAGATCATCAAGCACTAAACTAGATGCTCTAAACCAAGTGATAATCATCTAAGCTGAATGATGAAAAGTATTAGTTGATATACTGGTGCTTTGATGCTGTGTTGTTTCAAATAAAATGTCAAATATTTCATGTAGCAAAACCCACTCCAATAATGCCTAAACACTTCTGAGAGGGAAGCCAACTTTTTTCTGAGAATAAAAAGTAGTATCAATCAATGACTTATATAAAAGCCTTCACAGCCCCAAATTCAACTGCCATGAAATGATTATATTTTCAACATTCTTTTAGCGTGTATGCATATCACACTTGAAATCATCAAGTTTGGTTTTGAGAAAACATATTCCAATCCCATAAGGAAATAGGGCATCAGTCTATTGAAGTTACCACAAGCTAATGAACAGAGGCTATTGTTTTGGAAAGCCCAATGCTCTGATGAATCAAGTTTAAAAAGTTCCCTTTTTATTTTCACCAGTGGCAAGGTACATACAGATCTTTAGAACTACCTCTTTTTAAACATATTATTATACATTATAATTAGTGGATTTCCAAAACAAAACACACTCTAAAAAGGAATATTACCTTTTCCTCCTATCTTCACAAGCAATCATTCCTTCCTAGGGTCAAATCTTTCATTTTTTGAAACTCAGCATTCAATGGCTAAAATGTGGCTATAATCAGTTTGGGGGAAGGTAAATGTGGCAATAACTGTTCTGAAACTCATCAGTTAGGGTGCACGCCTGATATTTACCTGTGAGTAGGGCAAAATGGCATTTCAACAGAGAAACCTTTATAAATTACCACCACCCCAATCTGTTATTCCTGGGTTCCCCTTAAGAGCTAGTAAGAATAATTTCAAGGACACACCTCAATTAGCAATGTTCTGCCTTTTTGCCCACTTGAGTCAGTGTGCAGCATCAATGCCATATTTAGCTTATTTCCTCTGGTACAGGTCAGTTTGCCTAAAAATATTTGCTGCATCAATAGCTTTCACATGTCTTAAAAATTGGGCATTATTTTCAGCATGAAAACCAAATGCTGAATTACAACAGTGACAGAAAATGAACTCCTGTTCATTTACACATAGTCCGTCAGTGAGGGCAAACTTGGCACATCAGTGTGCACCACAAAGCGCTAAGCCTGGGTAGACTAACTCTCTCAGCCCTCCAGGCACACACTTACATTCACTTGTCACAAGTTTTTCTCAAGGCCCAGGCAAGGTCGAAAAGTGGGTCTTGAGACAATTAATTAACATTTCAGTAAGAGTTTCCTTGCAACTCCTACCCTGCTCTTAGTTAATGACCACCTAGTCCTTTTCTGACTCATCCCATCCTCCCCACCACCTACAAGTTGCATGAGAGACCCCCTTCCATAGTGAAATATTACCCCCAAACTCACAGGCCTGTCCATTTGGGCTCTGGTCATGACCACAGACTAGGATTGAGAGTTAAGAGAAGGCTAGGGCCAGCCCCCACTTCAGTGGCACACATACACAAAGGAACGCTCCTTTAAATTAGAAAAGAAATTAATGTCACAGAATGTTTCTCTATAAAAGATATGTAATAAAGTAATAATATCAATAAAATAAGCTATTACTAAAGCAAAGCTTTCATCAATAAGCTTCGAGAACTTTGAAGGAAGAAAATGGCTTCACAAAATGGTAGTCCAGGTTCCCACAGTGTGGACACTGCTGGACGTTGCTGTACTCAGAGAAGTACTGCATCCCAATCCGCACGTCTATCACAGGCTTCCCGCAGTGCTTACAGTTCAGGCGGGCCTGGGGGGGAAACACAGACACGTGAGCTGCAAGGCCTTTCCACTTCACCAACCTGATCCTAGCCAAAAGGCAAATGGCACATCTGGGAAACTGATAAAGAGTTTTTAATGGAAGTGTCACTATTCTGACCAAAAGCCCCATCTTCAAGGCACAGGATAAGCATAAAGTATATATTCGTGATTGGGTTGAAAGACTAACAGCGCCTAATTTCTCTCTTGGTACACAGCACTGCTAGTTTCTTTCTGATAGGAAGGAAGTTCTAAACCTGTACTGTCTAAACTTGTCCACTCCATTCCCCAGGGGAAAACCCACCTCCCTGGGTTTCACAGCGTGGTAAAACTCATTTCCCTCATCTTCACCTGTGTGAAAGATCTTTGAAGAGACTGAATTTATTTTAAAAATTCGTATATATTTTTTAAATCTACTCCTTACTACATTTGTGTTTTCTGTATCAGTAGAATTTCCCTAAAATATTCAAATAAAATTTAGCAATTCAGGAAGAAGTGCTATGTTTCCCTGAGGCTTCTGGAACCCACTAGCAAACTGTCTTCACATATGTCTGCTCTTTCTCTCATATCACAATCCTCAACAAGAGGTCCTTTCAACAAGAGGTTCAGGGACTCAGGTGAATAATTAGAATTTATAAATACAATAGATTGAAATTCATTCTAAAAGTTTAATAAAAAAGTATAATGTCATTTGTCCTTAAAACACCCCTGTGAGGAAGATGGTGGCATGTGAAGCTTAGGTGATGAAAGCAAGGCACAGTGTGATAAAGTACCCAAGAGTATGTAGTTAAGGAGGTAGAAAGGTGAGATTTGAACAATCGCTTAATTCACAGCTCTTAACCATGGCAGGGGACTACCTTTCCAGAATAATTTTAAAACCCCTTTTAACTGATTAATCTCTCCCAGCAACATTAAAAGAGAGACTCAAAGCAAAGCTCTCTCACTCTCTACTGCTTGTAATAAAAGTAACCATCATCCAAGTCCACTGGAAGACTTTCCTTGACTCCCCAGTAGTGCCTACCACTTGCACCTTCACATTAAATATGGTTCATTGACTGTTTTTAAGCCAAACAGTAATCAAACATGGTTTCCATTTCAGAGGGGCCAGGAAATAAAGGTCGGCCTTTGTAAGGAAGAACTATGTAGTGACTAAGAGGCTGGGTATGGCAGGACGTTATTCTGCTTTTCTCCCCAAAGATACAGATATACCCAGGTGGTGGTGAAAGAACACCAGATTGAATATTACAGGTTTTAGTCAAGGCTATCACACATTTTGTAGACCTGAGTAAAATAATCCAAATTTTTATGCCCCCAGTATATGTGGAAAATTAGTTTGGCCTAGATTCCCAGGTCCTTACGAGCACTAACATTGAGTCACAGGGCCAAATTTTCTTTTACTTCTTTATTTTTTAAAAAGATAACCTTCTAAGGAGTGTGTGTATAGAGTAGGGGACCATTTCCTTTTGTTTCCCTCATGTCAAGAGCTGACATAAATAAGTATTATAAAATACCACAGCTAGTAAAGACTATGATATCTCATTCCCAGGGTTTGAAACGGAAATGTGGTCAATGTGTTAGAATAGCATAAAAGTAGTTATTCCTATTTGGAATCAAGCAACAGGCTATGAATGGCCGCTTACGCCTCTCATGACTATGTTTATCTCCTGAGGTCACTAGCTAAAATAGGGACTCTTCAATTTTACTGACACAGGTGACCTTCCAAATAAACTGATAATAGTAAAGATATTCCCACTACAAAAACCAAACAACATTACAGAAAAAAAAAAGTAATAAAAAATATGTAGTACTAAAAAATGTATTTATCAAATACTTAAAGTAGGGTTTTTTTTCTTTTGATATGATCACTGAATAGTAAAGGAAATTTCTCTCCCACCCACAAATATAGACAAATCATATAACAAGTATTTTCTTAGAAATAAACCAAGAAATTTCTAAAGTATTTGTTTGTTGCCTGTTTCTCTGAACATGATATGTTTTCATATTACTACTTCTTTTCCTATGACAGCTAAATTTTAGATGCTTAGCATCAGAAAACACCCCCTACTAAGTGTTGTCTTAAGGATTACAAATATTTCATGTCAACATTAAAACACCTAACAAGCAGAAAGTCCCTGGGTAATTGTAATATCCCATAGGAAAGGAAGAAAAGAAAAATCCCGACTACTAAAGGAAACCAAACTTTCTTCTTCCTTTTCAATAATTAATTTTTCTTACTAGAAACTTGGTATATGTTAACACACAAAATGTGAGAAAATGTAAGTAAACAAAAAGAAAACTACAGAAACCACTTATCACTTATCATCCAGAGACAACATCTGGTAACAGGTTAGCAGATTCCTTTTCATATTGTCCCACAAAAAGGAGCATGATATTGGGCCATTTTATAACCTCCCTTTCTGACTTAATATACTGAAAATATTCCTCACGTAATTATACCTTACAGTATCCCTTTCAATGACTGCCTAGTACTCTGGCAATGGCCACTTACACTGTGGTAAATCCGCCACCACTCCTGGGCCTTGGGGGAAGTTTCCTGACTGCTCAATACTGAAGCATCTTCTCTATGTCCTCATTCCTCCCCCACAGTAACTTTAGTGCTGCTTTTAATTTCTCCACTTGGGGACAGAGGCCTGATACCACCCGGGGCTTGCTCTGTGGGGTCAATACCAACCTGACAGCATGGAGAGGCAGCCAGGATGTCGTAGGTGTACATGGTGCCTAGCTGGTGCCAGCTGCCATCCCAACGTGACTTACACTTGATGCAGATGATCTTATGAACTCCTTCCAGGCAGTCCACGCACACGGCGTACAGGTGCATGAGTCTCCCTATGCACAGAAGACACAATGCTGAGAGTGGCCATCAAGGAAACACCTTTAGACTTCAAGGGGAAAAATGGTTCATCAAACAATTATGAACAAACATTTCCTCATTTGGAAAAACAGAAAAAGCAAAATAGATATTTATTCCCCATCCCCAAGATGTCTTTTAAAAAGAATGAATTATTAACTATTGTCAATGGGACATGTACATTAAATTCAACTTCCTGAATACTAGTTTCACCTTTCCTAAAAAGTACTGCTAGATTTATCATATGGACATCCAAGTGTAAATGACAAAACAACGCATGCCCCAAACTAGCCTGTGAGCATGCAGGGCTTGCTGCTCAGCCTATGCATGGGAGGCAGACGGACACCAAGCCAGCACTGATGGTCTTCATTCATGGGCGCTCATCCACCAGTAAGTCCCAACACAGAAAGCCAAGTCTCTCTGTGTATTGCTACCCCAAAATTACATCACACTAAAAATTACTATTTTTAGCTGTCATTGTCTCCAAAATTACTCATCCTTCACCACATCTAATGTAGAAACCAGGATTATATCTTATTCGGAAGTTTTCTGTTTGTTTGTTTGTTTTTTTAAGGAATTCATTGTTGTGTGATTTCCTGGGCTCTTAAGTCACAACCCACCTCTCCATTACTTATCAACAAATACTGCTTGTTAAATGAAAATACTTCCCTGGTTTATAAGGATGAGTTAGAGCATAAAAACCTGGGAAAGCGCTGGAATACCCAGGACCTGCCTGGGCCATGTGCAATGGCAAGAGTTCGCCCTCCACATAGGGACCAGTGAGCTCCACTGTGCTAAAAACTACCATCAGAAGAACACATACTCCTGAGAGGCTTCTCAACTTACTCAGAAAGTGCTGCGCTATTCACTGTCATCAGCCACAGCTCTTTGCCTGTCAGTGGTCAGGACTAGCCTGCTCCTTACTGGAAAGCATTCTACAGTACTTGCAGGGAAGCCTTCCAATGCTGTGGCTTACATGATCAGGGCAGTTTTACTCATCTCTGTATGCTCAGCAACTAGCACTAGGTCTGGAACATGAAAGCACTCCCTAGTTGTGTACTGGGTAAATAAATGGGGTATATTAATAGCCAAGGACATTACAACCTTGGAGGCTTCTATGCCAAGAATTAGACTGGTGACAAGAGCGTCCTAAAATACTGCTCACCTCTGCTCAAAGGCACTGCATGCAACTCTTTAAAAAGGCCTCATATGATATAGCCCACTTGGGACATTTTAGACCTTAGTTCTAGTATCCAGGAGCACATGGAAAATGTTCCCTCCTCAACTTAGTCAACTGCAATTCTCAAACATTCAAAGATATCAGGCTGTTGCTAGAAGGGTGAGGGTGAAGACAGAAAAGTCAAGTGTTGATAGCAAGAACCATGAATAAAAGTTGACAGGTAACTTTTACCAAGAGTCTGGCACTGTGCTCTAAGGCTATGTGAATCATTTCATTTAACCCTCAGCAGCACTGCAAGTAGAAGTTACTATTCCCACTTGACATGAGGGACCAATGCCTAGCAAGGGCTTCAGTCTCTTTCTGACATTCACAAAAATAAAGTCCAGACTAAAATTCATGTATCTATCTGACTTTTAACCTCCAAACAAACTCATGGGAACACCTAGCCTGGACTGAAAGTCCAAACTGCTTTCAGTTATTATACATATTCCTAGAGAGAGATCTAAAGAATTGTAAATTTCTAAATGCTAAGGTGGTTAATGCAAACAAAAGGTAGATTCCTGTAAGAATAGTCACCTGCGGTTCTAGGTGATAAGGAAGCAAGAAGAATGTCCTAATTAGATTAATCTTTAAAAAATTATTCAAACCAAACAAAAGCATCCTCTCAGAGGAAGAGTCAGACTACAGAGGCTGGAGATGGGGGCTGGGGAGAGGGGGTAGAGGGGCTGGGGAGGAGGGCAAAGCAAGGGAGTGAGAACCCACACTTCACCACTAGAAATAACACATTATTTCAGCAGCATATAATCAACTACAGACTAGAATCCCGTGGCATGGAATATAGCCTTTCTATTTAAGTTGAAATCAGTTTCCAGAATATATGGCTGGGACTCTGTGAGGAAAGACATGACTTACACTCACTTGGTTTGAAAAAGATTGCACAGACGTCTCCAAGGTTTGGCAGTGAGCTCACTAACAGGTGTCGAGGCTCCACCTGTGGCAACAACTAGCTGATAAAACACCCTGACCTTAGATTCTATCACCAATATTTAAACTTCTCAAGGCTTTTATACTGCATACCTACCCATCCACTTATGTATCTGTGTGTGCACTCACGTGTACACACACACAGTTCTCAGGTTTTCTAATTTTCACTTTTCTCCATTTGCTCCCTGGTAAGTTCAGTATTTTGTCTTGGATGCTATTATCTTCCTTTTGTCCTCCCCATTCAAGACCTCTTCCATGCTTAAGATTTCAACCACCACTTGTAAAATTTGCTCCCCTGTGTTCATCCCAAATGCTAATCTCTAGTAATGGTTGCAAGACTCTCCACACAAAAACCCCAACATCCTCTCAAGGCAAACACACACAGATACCAGCACACTAAGATCAGATCTCTTTCCCAACTTTTCCACTCCTGTCCATGACAGCAACATCGATCAACAAGACTCATCTTCATCTTCTGCTGTCAAGTTACTGCCAAGCTGTGATTTTCCTTCTAAAATCTCTCTCCCAGATATTCCCACCTTTCATTTCCCACTATCACTACTCAGCAGTCCTTTCACGTAGATTGGCCTAGACTAAAAGTTCCAATTCTCTGTTCTACCCTGGTCAAACAACTTTTCACTCAAGCAATTACCTGCTTAAAATTTTTAGACCCTAAATTATAAAGAATAAAGCAAAGTTCTTTATTATGGTTTGAAGGATATCCACAAACTGTTTTCTACCTACCCTGCTCATTTTCTCTTCTAGAACCTCTGCTCCAAATAAGCTCTTCTTTCCAGTTCTCTCAGTATCTCCCAATTAACCTGCTTTACCACTATTCCTTTCTCCCATTGTTCCATCTCTATATTATAAAGTCACAGAAGGTGACTAAACCTGCTTATCCAAGATCCAACCCACCTTTTGACATGTGCCTTCCTATTGCCTCCCTCAGCTACCCAAGTCAAAGGTGTCCCTCCTTAGAAATTATAGGATGTTTAATGTACATAATATTCAGGAGTTATTAATCCCAGAGATACTATGAGTACCTTAGTCCTGCTGAAGTCAGTTATAATTTTATAAGAGCATCCTAAGATTTTAAACTAATCTGAGACCAGTACTAATAGTGCCCAGCACATATGGAATTCTTAAAGTGAACTGTTGATGTATCACATGAAAGAACTTGCCCATCATGAATAGAAAAAGACGACTACTACTTAATATGTAACTTTACTCATTTATTCATTCACTGCTTATATGTAGCTTCACTCACTTGCATAAGAAATATTTTCAGTCTTAATATGGTAAAGTAAAACTGATTCAAAAACTACTTCCCTCTAAAATTATCTCAAACTCTATAAAGGACAAGAAACAAAACACAAACTCCATATTCCATGAAACTATGAGCCACCTGCAACCTAGAACCGAAACTTGTGATCAGAAGTTGGATGGAGGGGTAGTAAATGGCTTAACTCTGACACTGGACAACAGAGACACAGGGTAAGATGGGATGAAGCACTGCAATGGAAATGGTGGGATATACAGGTAACCACACATTCTACACAACCTTTTCCATCAAGGCGCAGTCTATTCTACCATTCCCTGTACCTAAGACTTACAAGTTATTTGGAAGAACAGAATGTGGTGGAAGTGATTACTTAGTTTCAACCTTAAGACACAAGAGAAAGACCAGTGCCTACTGTCACCCTCCTGAGTGTTATCCTACCAATGAGAGGGAAAAAGCCGAGGCTAGGCCACTGAAAGATGAAAGATTATATCAAAACAGAGATCAGTCACCCTACCTGAAGCTACTGGTGCCAACCATTCTGCCAACTGCACAATTCGTGTGAGAGGACATGCTAACCAAACAACGCCTACAATTGTGAAAAATTATTAAGTCATCACCATTTTAAAGTTTTGGAATTGTTTACATTTTAACATTAAATGAAGCTCCAGAAAATTAATGAGTACTACCTTCAAAGTCATCTTCCTTTTCCTGACAAAGACAAGAAACCACACCTATAAAACAAGAACTGAATGCTATTAAAAAGAGTTCTTTTAAATTATAAGAGAATAGAAAATCTTAAGCTCAAGCTATAACTAGGTTGAATGGTCAAATTTTTCAGATACTAAAGCACAGAACAAAAAAGCACTTCTCTGCAACTTGCTTTGATTGACACAGTAGAGCCTGTATGTTCAAGTAACCCTGAGCCAGCTGGAGCTGGGAGACACATGTGTTAGAAAATAGCTACCCAGAGGCAAGGGTCCCACCACCCCCAGAAATGCAAGACTCAAGTTACCTAAATAAAAGCCCCTTTAGATTTCCTCATGTCTGAGTTGCTCTGCAATAAGCCAATGAACTTCAGCCAAGTCCACATTCTTTGCCCCAATCCATTTTTTTAGCCAACAAAAATGAACTACTCTGGTCTCAACTACGGTTCCCCAAACCTATGTAACATCATTCCCTTTCTTAATCACGGAGACAGATTTGAGTTTATCTCCCATCTTCTTGTCAATCAACAAAAAAGCACTTTTCTTTTTTCAAAATCCAAGTGTCATCATACTCTGGTATACACATTTCAGGTAGCAAGTCCACACTGCTTGGAAACACATAAAAATACTGGAATATAAAATCAAAGTGAGCTCCCAGAGAGCAGAACAAAGAGGTGAACAATAGGGCAGATACATATAAAGGATTTCCCCACCTCAAAAATAATACATCAATCTAAGAGACTCAATATCTGAACAGTTTTTATAGTTTAAAAATATGAAAATAAGAGGTTATCAAAGAAATAATTCAAAGAAAATTTCCTCAAACTGAAAACTGTAAGTTCGCAAAATCAAAAGCCAAGAAAACACAAGGCACAATGAACAGGGGAAGAAAGCGATGCACACTGTGCATGGTGAAACTTCTGAATACTAGGGCTGAGGAGGAGCCTTAAACTTATAAAACAGTGAGGGATAAGGGGACAGAAATAAGAGTAATACTAAGCTTCTCAACAGCAACACTGAAAGACAGAAGACAGTGAAGAAATGCCTTCAAATGTCCAAGGGGAAAAAATAATTTTTCCTTGACATCTATCCCCAACCAAATAGCAATCAGGTGTGAAGACAGAGTCAAGATATTATCAGACTTTCAAAGTCTCTATTTCCATGCTCTCTTTCTCAGAAAGCTTTTGGGGATGTTTTTAACAAATTGAGGGAGTAAACCAAGAGAAAAGAAAATATGGGACCTAGGAAATAGCAGACAAAAAAACAGGAAAGCAATCAAGGAATTCCTGAAGGACACCTAAATGGGAGAGCAGATCTGAATACACCAGCATAGATAGGTGCAGAGAGATCAAAGGCTCCAAAGGGAAATTTCTAGAAAATAAAATTCATAAAATGTCTGGCAGGAATGTGGAAATGATTTTGCATGGTAATTTGCAAAACTGCTAGATAGTGAAAAGAGCCAAGCAAGGTTTCAAAAAAAGGCTAAGCAAATGAAAATGTGCAGCAATTTCTCATTTTAATAAAAACAAAATACACTCTAGAATATATGGTATATATGAAATAGAATTATACTTCTTGGCTCAGCACTAAATATGTATATACTTTTAATACTACAATAAAAACAGTTAGGATCTGACCAAGAATTGGGATATATTATCACGAGTGAAAAGGAAAGGTGCAGGAAAGCATAGTCACCTACCTGAAAATTATGTCAATGGGTATTATCTAAATTGGAGAATGAAGATCAGAGTTTTACAGTTAGGACAGTAAACACTTGAAGAATCAGTTCAGATTTGAAAGTGTCGCTGGGAACTGAGGCAGCAAAGCTGCTCGGAAAAATGATATGGGGACATATCATTTTTATTACTGTGTTCTATAGCACACTTTAAAGTTATAAAAGTTACTATCATGCATCCCACCTTTGTATAAATTCAATAGGTTTATGTGAATCAACACATTTCACAGTTAGACTAACCAACCTCCTGTCATGCAATTATGGCTGAAATATCCCCAAGTCTTTGTATGTCATCCCAACCCTAATAAGTGCTCCACCCCCAGCACCAGGGTCACCTCTGAGTTTTCAATAACCTCCTCTTTAGCTTTTGTTGCTGTCAAGAAAAGTCTCATCTTTCAAAACCTTCAAGATTAATTCATCTAATCTAAAACACCACAGGCCTCTCTGACCCACACTTCCCCTTACTCGTTGTTAACAGGATCAAACAGACTGTGCCGCTGGTTGAGCCCATGAATGGTTTTCAAAGGCAACTATTTTAGACCAAGAGACATAATTATGGGATCCCTTGTCCAAATTTCCTCCTAATTATGGAAAACTGTACACCAGCAATCCTGTCTTCAAATTATAGCACAACAAAAACATAAAATTACCCACCAGGACAACTGTACTTGGTGGAGTAACATCTTTACAAAAAACACTTCCACCTCCTTCTGGGGCAAAGCTGAAACATTCAAATATCACCTAGGACCTGACTGGAACAAAAAAGCACCATCCGTTAAAATTAAGTCAGAAGGGGGTATTTATTCTGGGTTGTTTTTCAGCCTTTAACAGAAAGCAGGCAAGGTGAGTTAACACCTGTACCTTGAAGGTGACAAGGAACATCGTATTCGATCTCGTCGTGTCTCGACGGGCTTAAGAACAGCGTTCCGTCCACCAGTGGGAACTGTTCGAACACCGGGAGCGCCCGGTGACACAGCGCACAGTTCACCACATTCCGGTGACTGGCGCTGAGCGCCGCGAGGATGAACTTGCGCAGGTCCTCGCCCTGCCCCATTTGGGCATCGTCTTCCATCCGCACGTGGAAAGTGTTCAACTTATGCCTGGGGATGTGGGTGAGGAGCTCGGAGAGGTCCAGTCGCCGCAGGAATTGCACCGGTGCCTCGAAGTGGCCACCCCGGTGCACTGACAGTCCCGCGGGGCTGTAGTCAAAGTGGGCGTTTCGGAACACATGCCCCCCAGCCAGGGCCTTTTTGTGAGGTTCCAGGTGAATGGCGTTCTTCAAGAATTCCCCCAGGTATCTGGAGGCACGGGGTCCACTGAAGTGGGCAGGGGAGAGGATGGAGTAGCCTGTGGGTGGGGACTGGCCGGGGGAGCCGCAGGGCGAGCGAGCCCCATAGGCCGCGGCGCTGCCCGCCTTCTCCTGTGAGTTCTGCCGGTCCATGGAATGCCGGCGGGGCAGGTCGGGATTCAGGCCCTTCTGGGGCTTGTTGAGAGGCCTGCACTTTTTGGCCTCCTCCGCCGCCTCCCCCGGCGGTCGCCCGGTGTTCTTCTCGGCCCCGGACTTCTTCTTTTTCTCCTCCTGCATGCGCTTCACCGGGTACCAGTCTGTATCCTTCTTCAAGTGGCCCTGCCCACAGCGGCAAGAGCAGAAGCGGAAGGCCAGGTCATAGCCCTTCTTTGTCCACATGTTCTGGCGGCACTGCTTCTCGTTCCAGCTGCGCGCCCGGCCAATGCAGTTGAACTGGACCAGGATGCTGCTCTCCCACTCGTAGAAACACTGCAAGTGCATCCAGCTGCTGTGAGGGCAGTGCTCGTTGTTGCATACCACCTTCTGGTAGTCGTCCTTCTCCAGGTCCACAGGCCTCCCGAAGCTGCAGATCAAGGGTGTGGCACAAAGGGCTTCTGGAGGGGGACACAAAACGAAAGAGATTCAGCTCATGGAACTGGGGACTCCGCTGACAAGTCAGAGAGCAAAGCTGGACTCTCCCATTAGTCCTTTCATAGCAATGGTACAGTTTTTCTGGCGTCAAGATTTCTGTCACTGGAATAACACCACCCAAAGTTAGAAAACATTTACCAGGACCCTCCCTAGTGGTGCAACAGGTTAAGGTGCAACATATGAAGCTAGCATGAGTTCCATCTTCTCACAGAGAGGTGACCTACATGGCACAGCAGACTTCCATGTCTTGCCAGCTGCTCCCCTCAGCAGTGTACTTCGTCAATCTGTCTGTTCTGCTTCCCACTTTGTCTCTAGTGAATTCTCTTACTGCCCCTGCATCTCTGGTCTGTACCCCAGTTCTGTAAGCATAAATAAATAAAATCTAAAATCTAAAATAAAAAAAAAATTTACCTTCCTCTGCAAGGAAATTTATTTTCTGATATTGGTTATCTGGTGAAAAATAACTTCAAAAAAGTCCAAACCCTTTAAACCCATGGGGATTACAATTGAGATGGGAAAAAAATGTACAAAATGATGTAAAAATAAACTTTTGTAATAAAAAAAAAAAGTCCAAACCCTTTACATGCAATTAGTTAGCACTGGTGTAGCCATGAGATTTTTCTGAGAGGTGCTTATAAAGTCAGATATTTCCAGGGTTCCTCTAAAAGTGAATCATGCCAGTGAACTAGAAAATAATAATATGAGGAAGCTATTTAACCAACCAAAATGATGCTCAATATAACAGAGCTTAAGTTATCCTGAATATCACAGAGCTGTTAGAAAACAGATCTGCCTTACCTCCAGTTCTCTTCTAGAATGATCTGGTAACAAATGACAGAGATATTTGGTCAAATTGTTGGTCTACACAAAATTATACTGTAAGGTAATAAATAAGAAAAAGAAATTTCCTAAAGCTATCAGGAAGCAAAGTGGGGGAAAGTGAGATTTTACTTTGTCTTGTATATATATGCCCCAAGGGTTTCAAAAAGCCTTTCTGGGTTCCCATATAGGAAGGAAAATATAGTAACATGAAGGCAGTTCCTTAAGAAGCAGGTAGCATTTATAGAGACCGGAGTCCCTGTTACTTCAATGTCCAAAACATTTTCAAAGGGGCCCTTAGAGGGCAGTAGCCCTCCCAGTTGGGAACCACTGAGCTTGATCACATGCCAGGCTCAGCATAAACTTCACTACTGTAGTTGAGAAACAGCTAAATGAAAACTATGCATACAACCCCCGTCACAGGTGTTTCAGAGAGCTCACTGGGTGGTGTAGATGGGAGGCTAGAGGCAGGAAGGAGGCTCACCATTGTTAAGGTAGTTCTAGTGCTGGAGACGGGTGATGCTATTGGATGGCAAACCTGGGTGGGGAGGTTTGGACAGAAGGTGCTAGGTTGCCCCTTTGGGGAACTGCTGAGTACCTATGTACCACCGAGTGCAGAGACAAGACTGGAGCTTGGGAGAGCTGTGACTATAGATGTGGAACTGCACATCCAGAGGCAGAGTTTAAGTTTCCAACCATGAGTCAGTTCAGAAAGGATGTGAAGAGTAGAAAAGAATCCCGGGAAGCAACGTTAAAAGGCTGGAGAAGGGTACTCAACAGAGGTTGATAAGAAATGAACCGAGAATTCACAGCAAGACAAATCAGGAGAGAATTTCATCAAGTCGCTCTGAGGAAAAGGTGTAAGAATGGCAGGTTGTGAAGAGTCCCAGCATCCAGTGAGCTCAGCATGAGTCATCTCTCCACTACTGACTAATACTGTGCTGTGGGACTGGTCCTGTCCACTATGAGATGTTGAGCATCAACATGCTTAGGTGGCCCTCTCAGCAGAGACCCCAAATAACTTGGACATTACCAGGTATCTCTTAGTAGTTCCTACCCGATTGTGAGCCACAGGGGGAGATAAAGAGTGAGAAATCCTCATCAAGCGAGCAGTGAGCCAGTCTTAGACACCTCAACCAATAGTTTCCCTGGAATGATGGACGACAGGACAGAGGTGGATAGTCAGGAGCAGATGGTGAGGTAAAAAGAGGCAGTACAGGCCCTCGTAGGTGGCACAACAGGTAAGGACACAGCACTGCAGGCTGGCCGCAGCTGCTTCAGTGAGAGTTTGATTCCCAGTCCCGGAGGTGACCCACATGGCGCGGCAGACCTCCCCTGACCTGCCCACTGCTCCCCTCAGCAGTGTACTTCGTCAGTAGGCCAGTTCTGCTCCCCATTCTGTCTCTGGTGATTCCTCTCACCACCTCTATACCTCTGGCTTGTACCCCAGTTCTGTATGCATAAATAAATAAATCTTTAAAAAAAAAAAAAAAGCAGTACAGACGGCCCTCCAGAAAACTCTTTCCAGAAGTACAATGGTAGTGGGAAAATAATGGAATGAGCAGAGGGCAGCAAAGGTGAGATTTGTCATGTTCATCAACTAGGGGTTGAACACCAAAAAGTCTGGATAGACTGAAGATATGGAAGAGGGAACACACTATCTGATTCTGCTACTCAAAAACCTTTACAACCTTACTACTACTCCCTGAATTACAGATACATTCCAACCAACGGAAAACACACAGGTGATAGACTCATAAAGCTTACGAAATATTAACTGTGACTCACAGGTTAACAATCATCTCCTTCAGTATGGGATTTCACTGCCTCAGCAAAACAATCCTAATCACCTCCATGACTTTGATCACTGTGGCTTCCCGATCTACCTCCACAATCCTTAATATTCATTTCTCCAAATCCTATTCAGCCTCGTGTACTAATAATTCATAGCATGAAATCACAAGCTGCCTGCACTGGAATCCCAGGAGTATCACTGGTAAACTGTACTCTTGGACAAGTTAATTAACTTTGCTTTGTGTCAATTTCCTCTGTATAAAGTATAGAATGTAACTAAATGTACCATCTGTGATTAATAGGATAAAAAATATACCAATAAAGAGGAGATATTTAGAAAGGACTTAAGACCAGAGGACATCCCCTTTTCTTCCTCAAGGTCCTTCAAGATCTGTCTCTAGACACCAATTTCACCAGGAGACCCCATTCACCAGCATCCTGGCCAGGCACCACGAGCATGGTCAGGTCTGAACCTCACTGGATGAGGCCTCAGGAGAGGATGCCTCTTATCTTTGTGTTTCTGTACCACTGGGCCCAGGCCTGGCACAAATCTGGTGCTGAATAAAGTTGCATTAAAAAGAAACACTGGCACATGAAGCCCACACATGACAGGCAGAGCAGACGGAGATGAGAGAGAAGCCCTAAATGTTCTGAAGCACATGAAAAAGAAATAGAAAAAGAAATAGAAAGTGGTTTGTAAATGCTGAGTAACTTAACTGCAGTCACCTAGACAGTGACCTTTAATGTCCTTTAAAATGTTAATTAGTCAATTAAACAAAGTTCAGCCGCTTTTATCCTCAATCCTTCAGAAGAATAGCCTTGAAGGGAATGTCTGAAAAATGGCAGTAACCAAAATGATATTATCACTCGTCTAATGAAATCAAGCTAAAGAATGGGCTAACCATATCTCTGCATTTACAATATCCAAAACTTTTAAATGAAATGCTGAGATTAAATAGATAATTCTTACAATAAAATGAAAAGAGAAAAACAAATTCTATTTACACCTCTTCCCAAATGTTGCAAATGGATCATTTAATCAGTTCTGAATACTTCCTGCATAGCAGGTCTGTGCATCTGGAAAGACAGGCAAGTCGAGCTAAGATGTCTCACAGAAGTATAGACACAGACTACAGAAGGGCCAGCACAACCCCGCGCCCCTATTCCTGTAACACTGTCTACAATATCACAGCCATTCCCACCAGCTTCTGCTATGCCAGTCGCAGCAACAAAGAGCCCCCACTCCTCCTCATGCCAATGTGGCTGTATGACTAGGCCTCAAAAACACAATATACAGCCAAGGACTTGTTTCCCCACATATAAAACACACAACGGGCATCTTACCATATTACAACCCTCCACTAGCACCCCTCCACTGGCAGGGTGCCCCAACGATGCAGATCACTCAGGAACTGAGGCCTTGGAAATAACTGAGAACTTCTGACAAGGCTTCTCTACCTCACGTGGTCTTTTCACAGAACTGTAGTAGACTGACCTCTACATTCACAGACATGGTTCATTTCAAGGCTTGCTTCAAACTTATCTACTTCCCTAATTACTCTCTGACCACCACCACCATCACCAGCCTCCCCCAGCTGTCCACCCTGGAAAGGCAGCTAGAAAGAATGAAAGAAGGGTTTGGGAGCCAGAGGTTCTGCTACTAACTAGTTCTCTGCTGTGGGACAGTTTCCTCTCTGTAAAGTACAGATGAAAATACTTACGCTGATCACCTCAAATAGGTAGGGAAGCACTTTGTAAACTATAAAATTCTATAAAAATCCTCCTATACTACCTCTACTATAATTTTGTATGTATTTTTTTCAAAGATTTTATTTATTTACGCATTCAGAACTGGGGTACAAGCCAGAGGTGCAGGGGAGGTGAGAGGCTTCACCAGAGTCAGAGTGGGGAGCAGAACAGGCAGATTGAGGAAGTACACTGCTGAGGGGAGCAGTGGGCACGTTAGGTGAGGTCTGATGCACCATGTGGGTCACCAACAGGGCGGGGATTGAACTCACACTGAAGTGGCTATGGCTAGCTTGCAATGCTGTATCCTAACCCATGCGCCAGCAGAGAGGGCCCGTATGTGTGTAATTTAACTAAATGCAAACCACTCCAAAGTATTTCCTGCTTTTAACAACACTTCGAAAACACAATAGGTATTTAGACAGTAATAAATATACAATGTCATGTAAATTTTTTAACTTCCTAAAAATTGAAACACAGGAAGATTTTGTACCTCTAAGAAACAGCACTGTTGCCACTCAAAATCATGCCTCTAACAAATTAGAAATAGTATAGTAACATATCTGATTGCTTCCTAAAACCTGTCTCTAAACTTATAAAATCC